AAAAGTTATGTAACAAAACAATACACTGTTGTAAGCAATCAGTTATTTCAATCTAATTTGGATAAGTTACTTTTTATATATTTTAATAATATTGAGATTAACATATTTAAACTCTTTTCTGTGTTGAATAAGGGTGCAATTTTTTTCATTTCATGAAGATTTGATTACATAAAAACCATCATTGGATATAATAAATTTTTGTTGGGTTGTTCCCCAAAAAAATATGTTGAATTTTGAGGGAAAATATACTTTATATTTTGTTTGCATCATTTTCGAGTGTCCAACATGCATATTTCTTTATTTTATTGAAAATGATACAACGATATTTTCAATGAATGATCATTTCATCTCATTTTTTAGAGCATTTTCGGGAAATTTATTAAAAAGTCGCGATAAACACCGTCTAAGCACTCATCGGGTTTGGAAAAATAGCCTAAATATAAACGACAATCATAATTCTTTAATCATGTTAATAATGTCTAAGTTTAGTTTTATCTGCATATTTCTCTTCTCCTTTAATTCTTATAATTTTGCTGAATAAATAATAATAAAATGTCGAGCTTCTGTACTTGAACGTTTCGTATTTTTCCGTGGCGCCATTTTAATTAAATAAAACGAAACTAAGATTCCGTAATTTGTATGAGTTCAACATATGACGTAGTAGAGTTCAATCCGTCAGAAAGGTCAATCCGTCCGATCCTCCGATCCGTCCGATCAGTCAAAGATTTTTACTATAAGTCGGACGGATTGGTGACGTGAGTTTGACGCGAACTTGACTGATCGGTGACTGATCGATGACCGCTGATTGATCGCTAAAATAGTAACGCCTAAGGCTGCAAAAACTGTAGGATGTTAAGCTAGTTATCAAACAAGGTTAAACCAACTTCTTTTCGGAAAATGTCCGTGCGAAGTCAGGAATATGACGGTTGCTTACCGAACTATACTCACCTTGGTCAAATTGAAGTGTAAGTGTAATTCTATGAAGACATAGGATAACACTGGAGGTGTTAGATGAGGTAGTGATGCGCAACTGCAACCTCGATATTTACAATGAAAACAAAAACTGTTGACAAAGTACATCTACCCATGAAAAATATTCCTTGTATATTATCTGAGCATAATTTCCTGCTTCTTAGTCAGTCATTATCCTTTTCAACCCTTTAATGAAGGATGACCATTGTATTGTTGGGGTCTCCCTTTCCACACGATCAATATGCCGAATCGGTATCACATCTTCCTCCTAAATTATGTTCAATTTATCAAGCATGTGTTTTATATGTGTTTCTCGACGTTTTGTTGCATTTCTTTGCTTAGTGCTTAGTTTGAATTCAATGTTTTTTAATTTTCCAGGAAATTTATTGTTCGTATTATGGATTTCAAATTCTTTTTTGTTTATGATGTGGTTTAACACTGTTAAATAGAATATCATCAGCAACACTGTTCATTTTACTTGAATAAGATTTGATAGTTAAACAGAAAATAAAAACTGTCCACTTAAACCATAAAGAGGTTATACCTGTGATTTATTAGTCAGTATTTGATATATATTTTTACCAGAACAGAGAACTTCTTTTATTATTGGTAATCCCTGAAATCATTTCAGGAAATTTGTAGAATAATTCTTAACATTTTCAGGGATTATAAGAATTCACGGGTCATTTTCATGGATTATATATAATACTAATGTTTTAGTGATTATGCAAATTTCCTGAAAAATCAGGGTTTCTACATAATCCCTGATTATACAAATGCAGTGTAACATATAATGTCCAATGAAAGTTAGTATATACATGTATATACGTCATAACTTAAATTGTAATGGCCTATGTCTCACTGCAAAAATAAATGACCATGTTCTCCTACAAAGTTAATGAAGTTTTTCGTTGGCTAGTTCTCTCTAGTTTCTAGTTGTTTACGTTTAAGTTTAAGTTGAGAGCAGAAAACTGCATATTTTGTGATATAATATTTAAGAAGATACCTTTTGGCAAATTTCATTCAATTCTACTTTTAGAGAATTATATTTTGTTTTTAAGTTAACGGAAGGACTGGCAGACGTGGGACGGAATATAATGACAATAGTTCACACTGTCAATTAAATATAACGGATGAACAGACTGAGCTTACCACATGTACCAATATCTTTGTCTTTTACGGCAGGAGATATATTGAGAATAGCGTTCATAACGAGAAAAAACTAAATTTGCTAAGAGTTTTTTATTAAACCTTTTTTTCGGAAAATAATGGAAGCAATGAACTTAAAATTACAAAAAAAAAAAAAAAAAAAATGAATGCCGTCATTCTCTTTTTCTCAGTTGGAATAGCTAGGTCAATTAGTCTTTTTAACAGACCAGTTTGTCGAGTTTGTTGAACACATACTTAGACTATGAAAACAAGTAAGATGAGATCACTAGTGGAACATGAATTCAGTTGTGTCTGTTCGTCTTGTGATGTACGTTTGTACATGAAAATGTAGGACGTTATATTGTAAATCAACTTATTTTCGCGAGCAATTTTTTTCATGACTTTAGCTAGTAGAAAAATAACGCGAATATAAATCGTTGGGAATATGTAAAACCTGGATCTTTCCTTATTTAAGGAAATTTGAAAATAACGGAATTTAATCTCCGTGAAATGGGCTTGTAAGGGCTAAACGCGAAATAAACTTTCCGCGAAAATATGTTGGTTTACAGTATGAAAAAGAACCAGAAGCATTTTATACTGCTTTATTGATGAGTGATGCAAAACATTTACAAATTTCGACTCAAGTTGTATGCTACGCATGGTGTTTTGTATTAAAACGTAAAAAAGCATGATTCTTTTTTTTAATTTGTATTAGTTTGAAACAAGTATATTTAGAAGATGTATTTGCAATTCAGACGTAGCTTCGTGATAAAGAACTCAGCCACCCATGGCACTGAGTAAGTGATAGTCTCAAAATGTTCAAGTTTAGTTCGCGTATTGCTTGCTAAGATTGTCAAATTATTTTAATAAAGTCGTTCATTTTTTATACTTTGTAATACTTTTGATTTTTCCTCCTCCCTTGGGAAAAATACAATTTAAAATATCAAAAAGGCTACTTTTATTTCAACATGTATGTGTACACCTATGATGGTATATTCTATATCATTTGGAAATTTTTCTCTAGTTGTTTTATCTCATTATTTTTTAATGGCCATAGCTAAATAGGCACAACTTGTTGGAATTGGTGGTTTTTTAAGCAGTGTTTGTCAACTTCGTTAAGTCTTCCAACTATTTTGATTTCAGCGCCACTTATGAATCGTATGTAGACGAAATGCCCGCCTGGCGTACCAAATTATAAGCCTAATATCTTTACTGGGGTAAACATACGAAATGCTTTGCAACATACAAGGGGCCTAAGTATTTAAACATCCTTAGGTCAAGAGTCTATGCCCTGTAGTTTTCAATTCAATATGTATGATAAATACACGGTTTAACCCGAACCTAGACTTATATCCTATTATTTGCCTAACTGAAACTACAAAAATGTAAATTATCTCTCACAAGTAACTTAATACACATTTTAAGTCCCTAGAACTATTAAAAACAAACAATTTGGCGATTACGGAATAAATGAATTAAAAAGTGTATAAACACATACGCACAGAACTTTACAGCAAGGTTTGCGAGGAAACAATATATATTTCATAATTTTTTTTTTTAAATATTAGTAAATTATTGTGACTGTAACTTGGAAGCCGACAATTTGTTATTTTGATGAACTAGTACATTGTAATTAATAAATAAAAACTTTTTGAACAGGTTAACTATCCAAAACTGTCTAAACAGTTATAGTATCCAGCGCAAAATGTTTTGGCATAAAATATCTCAGCTTTATTTTAAATTACAAATCCGAAATAATTAAACAATATTGTTAGACATTAACATATTGCATATCAATCTTGTTCAGGTTAAGTTCTCTTTAAGGCTGTTGACACTCGCTACTTCCCGTTATATAATTGACAGTAAAAATTATCTCCGCCTCCTTTTAAACACATCTATTATCACGTTAATCATTGGGCTCCATGTATCAGCTTTAAAAAACAGTAGTCATATTAAAATGTCATTAACATTTTATTTTGCATGTAATATGTACAACTGGTCTTTAATCGATAATCCGTAATAAGTAGCTTAAGGTCTCATATGACACACAATCGATGTTTTGTTATCTGAAACATCTAGACAATTATTAACAACGACTTACACCACAATGATAACATTTTGTTTTTCATATTTACTACTACAAGTGCATATTTTTGTATGAAAAAAGAGGCAAAAGATACCAAAGGGACATTCAAAACTCATTAGTCGAAGAAAAACTAACAATGTCAAGGTAAAACACGGAAATAAGAGGAAAGACGAACAAGTCCACACAACACTGAACAGCGGTATAATACTGTTGCCTTTATATAGAAAACACAAGAATGAGCAACACGAACCTCACCAACGAAATAGGATTGAAATCATGTGCTCCTTAAGGGTGGATAACTTCAGCATCACATGTTTTTCACCCGCCAGAATATACTTGTCATACGTTTAGTTATCCGCAGTTGACTTGCTGACAATATTCACTCATATTGTTTTCTTCTTGATCAATAATTATATCCCGTGCATATTATGCAAACATAGTTTATTATAGGATCTCTGTTGTTTAACAGATAAACGGCTCTAAAATTCAGTATGTTATCTTGATTTTTGAGTTTTACTTCGGAATGCTTAAAAATGAAATATTTCAAACTTTCCAGAACATTTAAACAATCAAACGTCAGTTGACACACCATCTGACTCATGATGTATTATAATTCATCTGGAATCATGCCTACGGCACTTATAGTAATGTCACCATCTAAATCCACTTATAGCATCAATAATCATATTGTATAACATTGGCCACATTTGAATTATCGAATGAATTAGTTATACTTTTCCCCACCATTTCGTTCTGTTTTTAGAATTAAAAATATTTCAACTGTTTATTTCAGGATGGGAACACTGTTTTACACAAAGCTGCTAGTAGTGGAGAACTCGAAATGGTCAAACTGTTACTCGAAACATCAAATATAGATCCCAATCAAGAGAATAAGGTATGAAGAATGAGGAATAAAGTATGTCTATGTGCTGTCTACCATCACTGTGTCATATGGTTTGTTTATTAAATCGTCTCAGAATATTTTTCATAAGAGATGTACCAATCTTTTCTAAGTTTTTACGATAACACAGGTGCAATTAAGTTTAATAATAAAACGAAAAGTTATGCATAAGTGTGTGTATCTCCATACCATCCCGGATCACCTGCGTTTACCCCCGGTATTTTTATTTGTTTCGTGTTGTTTAGTCCTAAGTTTCTATGCAATGTTTTGTAAACGGTCTTTTGTCTTTAGTGTATGCCATTGTGTTGTCAGTTTGTCTTCTACTTATGGTTTTTGGTTGTTCCTTTGGTATCTTTTGAAAAACTATTTGAGATCCTTTTTTTCAACTGTAAATCCTCTGTTACGTAAACCCACAGGGTCCACGTATTATAACACTCTCATTTACGGGTGGAAATTAAAATGAGAAAGAAAAAGCAAATCATATTATATTAATCATTCCAAGTGGATTTATCTATACATCATTTATTTAATCTTGGTATATTTTTATATTTTTAACTTTAATAATAATTATTTTCGTACTTTTGCTATTCTAATTACTATTACACATTAAGCATATTGAGTTGAAAGGAGATGTATTATTTATGTGAACAATATAGTAGACATATTACATAGCGGGTGTTGTGTACATAATTGTACAATAGTGGTAGATGATGTGGGAATTACAATAACTTGACCAGGCAAAATATTAGGTATCTACCAAAGTCAAAATCATAACAGAAAGGGCTTCATTTTTCGTACTTTGTTCAAAAGATTAAAGTCCTATTATTTTATCAGGTCAATTTGTGCAGGCGTTCATAAAGCTTTAATCGGCAATATTGAACTATTCAGTTTCTTCTATCTGTTTATATATGTAATCAATAGTATTCAAGTCCTAGTTATCTTTTACTTTATTTATTCCACAAGAATTAAACTGTGCATAATATAAAACTACGGAAGTTAATATTAGTATAACCTATGGCCACTTTTATTTGCCAAATGCTTCTGCTTGAACAAGAACGTATAAAGTAAACGTCTGCTTGAACAAGAATATAAAAAGTATTTTTTGTCAAATTGTTTGTCTAGTGAGGTTAAACAGTATTTACCTATTGTTTTCTATTGGTGATGTTTCTGAATTCATAATACTGTACAAGCTATTCGACTGTTTTGATTTTATAAGTCCCTTAAAATAATAATAACTATCCATCCTCTTTCATCGGTAAACAGCATACCTTGAGCTTTTGTTTGTTTTTTTCGTCCCTGAAAAGGACAACTCTAAATATTCTTAAGGTTTTTTTTATATGTATATCTGGAATGCCTCTTAGTTCAAGTTTATACACAATCAAAGACAAAAAATGTAGATTTAATAGTTTTTCCATAAATGAGAGATCTCTTGATTTTAAAACCTCTACGCAACGTTTTATGTTGTTTTTTGTTTCTAACCAAATTTGATTAATCTCTGCTTCATATCAGTGCTGAACCCTTACTACTTTTACAGGCCGCGGATTCCATTTAATTAATGCCCAACGTTTTTGTCAGAAATTCATTCTAGCCCCTGAACATGCTAAAACCTTTATATGTGTATTGATTCAAATATGTCTTTGATTATTATTTTAATATCCTTTCTATGTTAGGGTTAGTTGTAATTAGTAATTTCTTAACATGTCCTGTGCCAAGTCAGGAAAATGGCCATTGTTATATTATAGTTCGTTTCTGTGTGTGTTACATTTTAATGTTGAGTTTCTGTTGTGTCGTAGTTCTCTTCTTATATTTGATGTGTTTCCCTCAGTTTTAGTTTGTAACCCGGATTTGTTTTTTTCTCAATCGATTTATGAATTTCGAACAGCGGTATACTACTGTTGCCTTTATTTCTAACAGATAATAATAATTAAACGAATGAATAAGAGTTTTTCCTCCGGTTTTCCTCGCTTATCTGAAAGCTGGTGACAAACCGTTTTCATTTCACTTCGGACAGTTTTATTCTCATATAATATTTAGATCTGAAATTGATGAAAAATATATCACCCTTTGATTATTTGCTGAATTATTTCATGTGTAGGGTTAGAATCTGATATTTTTAAAACGAATATTTAAGAGCCTTAATGATACCCTTTACGTTGAAATTATAATTTAGTGCATATTCACCCATCAGCATTTACTGACACTTTTAAATATTTAGATGCTATATTGGCTATCAATAATGACGACTTCAGTATGTACAATAAAGAGATTTATCCTGCTGAACTGATTTTGAATTAAGCTCATACTAACAATGAACACTGTCCTTTCTTGGATATTGATATCTATATCTCTCACGGGAAGCTTAATATCAAATTACCGATAAAAGATATGGTTTTTCATTTCCTATTGTTAACTATTCATTCTTAAAATGATGATGTTCCTTTGACACCATCTTATGGTGTTTATATATCTGAACTTGTTAGATTCTTTCCTGTATGTAACAATGTTTTTGATGTTAACCAAAGAAATCTCTGTATTACTAAAAAACATATTACACCAGGGTTTTCAATATCACAAACTTGTCAAACATTTACCAAATTTGATCATTTTACCTATTATTCTTCCTTTCTATACTTTTTAGGAGAAATTATATCATTCCAGATATTATTACATCTAAAATGAGCAAGCATTCGTTTTCATTTGTATTCCGTTGCATTTATCTACTGTTTTTACAGTATTTAAACAAATCTGAAATATTATTTATTCTGCAATCAATTGCTTCTGAACTATTTTTGTATACAGTAAAGGTCTCCACCGTAACTATGTAATTTTGCTTTGTCTGTTAAAGCTAGAAAACGAAAGATTTAAAAGTATCAAGAATGATAAAATAGAAAAAAAAGTCTGTTGAAAAGTTCATTGAAGTTATCTGACTCATGTGATGTATTATTAATCATTATGAATAGTATCCCCCTTTTCTATTGCTATGTCGCCATTTAAATCCACTAAATTTACTAAAATCTAAAAAGTAAAGTTTCTTTTTTAATCACTAACTTTACATAAATTATTGTTTTGTATAAAGTTGGCCTCACTCAAAATACTCGTTATAATTACTTTTTCCCATCATTCCGTTCTTATTTTAGAATTAACTAATCTTACGTGTGATTTACATATACTTGAAATGTGAATAACAACAGTCCAACATTAAAGTTCCTGTGTTTCAACGCCTTTGCAAAGAAACTGTGAGCATGTCAACAATAATATGCAATGACTGCAGCTTTGTTTTACACATAGCTGCTGAAAAAAGAAGAGGAACACTGGAAACAGTCCAATTGTTATAAGAACATACGAATGGAATAAAAAAGATTGGGTATGAATGGATGGGTCGGGTACTATGAATGATAAATCGTTTGAGACAGTCATCAAACTTGATAGCAATACAAATGTTGTTGAAATGATAAGCACCAATGTTCTGAATGTTCTTAAGGTTTAAAAAAAAAAGAATAAAAGTTATGTAACAAAATAATGCACTTTTGTAAGCAATCAGTTATTTCAATTTAATTTGGATAAGTTACTTTTTATATATTTAAATAATATAGAGATTAAGATATTTAAACTCTTTTCTGTGTTGAATAAGGGTGCAATTTTTTTCATTTCATGAAGATTTGATTACATAAAAACCATCATTGGATATAATAAATTTTTGTTGGGTTGTTCCCCAAAAAAATATGTTGAATTTTGAGGGAAATTATACTTTATATTTTGTTTGCATCATTTTCGAGTGTCCAACATGCATATTTCTTTATTTTATTGAAAATGATACAACGAAATTTTCAATTAATAATCATTTCATCTCATTTTTTAGAGCATTTTCGGGAAATTTATTTAAAAGTCGCGATAAACACCGTCTAAGCACTCATCGGGTTTGAAAAAATAGCCTAAATATAAACGACAATCATAATTCTTTAATAATGTCTAAGTTTAGTTTTATCTGCATATTTCTCTTCTCTTTTAATTCTTATAATTTTGCTGAATAAATAATAATAAAATGTCGAGCTTCTGTACTTGAACGTTTCGTATTTTTCCGTGGCGCCATTTTAATTAAATAAAACGAAACTAAGATTCCGTAATTTGTATGAGTTCAACATGTGACGTAGTAGAGTTCAATCCGTCAGAAAGGTCAATCCGTCCGATCCTCCGATCCGTCCGATCAGTCAAAGATTTTTACTATAAGTCGGACGGATTGGTGACGTGAGTTTGACGCGAACTTGACTGATCGGTGACTGATCGATGACCGCTGATTGATCGCTAAAATAGTAACGCCTAAGGCTGCAAATACTGTAGGATGTTTAGCTAGTTATCAAACAAGGTTAAACCAACTTTTTTTCGGAAAATGTCCGTGCGAAGTCAGGAATATGACGGTTGCTTACCGAACTATACTCACCTTGGTCAAATTGAAGTTTAAGTGTAATTCTTTGAAGACATGGGATAACACTGGAGGTGTTAGATGGGGTAGTAATGCGCAACTGCAACCTCGATATTTACAATGAAAACAAAAATTGTTGACAAAGTACATCTACCCATGAAAAATATTCCTTGTATATTATCTGAGCATAATTTCCTGCTTCTTAGTCAGTCATTATCCTTTTCAGCCCTTTTATGAAGGATGACCATTACATTGTTGGGGTTTCCCTTTCCACACGATCAATATGCCGAATCGGTATCACATCCTCCTCCAAAATTATGTTCAATTTATCAAGCATGTGTTTTATATGTGTTTCTCGACGTTTTGTTGCATTTCTTTGCTTAGTGCTTAGTTTAAATTCGATGTTACTTAACTTTCAAGGAAATTTATTGTTCGTGTTATTAATTTCAAATTCTTTTTTGTTTATGAGTTAATGTGGTTTAACACTGTTAAATAGAACATCACCAGCAACACTGTTCATTTTACTTGAATAAGATTTGATAGTTAAATAGAAAATGAAAACTGTCCACTTAAACCATAAAGATGTTATACCTGTGATTTATTAGTCAGTATTTGATATATATTTTTACCAGAACAGAGAACTTCTTTTATTATTGGTAATTCCTGAAATCATTTCAGGAAATTTGTAGAATAATTCTTAACATTTTCATGGATTATAAGAAATCACGGGTCATTTTCATGGATTATATATAATACTAATGTTTTAGTGATTATGCAAATTTCCTGAAAAATCAGAGTTTCTACATAATCACTGATTATACAAATGCAGTGTAACATATAATGTCCAATGAAAGTTAGTACATACATGTATATACGTCATAACTTAAATTATAATGGCCGATGTCTCACTGCAAAAATAAATGACCATGTTCTCCTACAAAGTTAAAGAAGTTTTTCGTTGGCTAGTTTTCTCTAGTTTCTAGTTGTTTACGTTTTCAAGTTGAGAGCAGAAAACTGCATATTTTGTGATATAATATTTAAGAAGATACCTGTTGGCAAATTCCATTCAATTCTACTTTTAGATAATTCTATTTTGTTTTTAAGTTAACGGAAGGACTGGCAGACGTGGGACGGAATATAATGACAATAGTTCACACTGTCAATTAAATATAACGGATGAACAGACTGATCTTACCACATGTACCAATATCTTTGTCTTTTACGGCAGGAGATATATTGAGAATAGCGTTCATAACGAGAAAAACTAAATTTGCTAAGAGTTTTTTATTAAACCTTTTTTTCTGAAAATAATGAAAGCAATGAACTTAAAATTACAAAAAAAAAAAAAAAATGAATGCCGTAATTCTCTTTTTCTCAGTTGGAATAGCTAGGTCAATTAGTCTTTTTAACAGACCAGTTTGTCGAGTTTGTTGAACACATACTTAGACTATGAAAACAAGTAAGATGAGATCACTAGTGGAACATGAATTCAGTTGTGTCTGTTCGTCTTGTGATGTACGTTTGTACATGAAAATGTAGGACGTTATATTGTAAATCAACTTATTTTCGCTAGCGATTTTTTTTCATGACTTTCGCGAGTAGAAAAATAACGCGAATATAAATCGTTGGGAATATGTAAAACCTGGATCGTTCCTTATTTAAGAAAATTTGAAAATAACGGAATCTCCGTGAAGGGCTTGTAATGGCTAAACGCGAAATAAAGTATCCGCGAAAATATGTTGGTTTACCGTATCAAAAAAGAACCAGAAGCATTTTATACTGCTTTATTGATGAGTGATGCAAAACATTTACAAATTTCGACTCAAGTTGTATGCTACGCATGGTGTTTTGTATTAAAACGTACAAAAGCATGATTCTTTTTTGTTATTTGTGTTAGTTTGAAACAAGTATATTTAGAAGATTTATTTGCAATTCAGACGTAGCTTCGTGATAAAGTACTCAGCCACCCATGGCACTGAGTGAGTGATAGTCTCAAAATGTTCAAGTTTAGTTCGCGTATTGTTTGCTAAGATTGTCAAATCATTTTAATAAAGTCGTTCATTTTTTATACTTTGTAATACTTTTGATTTTTCCTCCTCCTTGGGAAAAAATACAATTCTATATCATTTGGAAATTTCTCTCTTGTCGTTTTATCTGAACATGAAATCACATTTCATTTATTTTTTAATGGCCATAGCCAAATAGGCACAATTTTTTGGAATTGGTGGTGTTTTAAGCAATGCTCGTCAACTTCGTTAGGCTTCCCAACTATTTTGATTCCAGCGCCACTTATGAACCGTATGTAGACGAAATGCTCGCCTGGTCAAATTTTAAGCCTCATATCTTTACTAGGGTTAACATACGAAATGCTTTGCAACGTACAAGGGGCCTAAGTATTTAAACAGCTTTAGGTCAAGAGTTTATGTGCTGTAGTTTTCCATTCATTAGTTATGATAAATACACGGTTTTACCCGAACCTAGACTTATATCCTATTATTTGCCTAATTGAAACTACAAAAATGTAAATCATCTCTCACAAGTAACTTAATACACATTTTAAGTCCCTAGAACTATTAAAAATTAACAATTTGGCGATTACGTAATAAATGAATTAAAAAGTGTATAAACACATATGCACAGAACTTTACAGCAAGGTTTGCGAGAAAACAATATATATATTTCATTTTTTTTTTAATATAAGTAAATTATTGTGACTGTAACTTGGAAGTCCATTTCTCATTTTGGCAAACTAGTACATTGCAATTAACAATAAACACTTTTTTAACAAGTTTCCTATCCAAAACTGTCTAAAAAGTTATAGTATCCAGCGCAAAAAGTTTTGGCATAATAAATGTCAGCTTAATTTTAAATTACAAATCCAAAATAATTAAACAATATTATAAGACCTAAACATATTGTATATCAATCTTGTTCAGGTTAAGTTTTAGTTTAGTTTAAACATATTTATTTATAGTGGATTGGGAAACAAGTTATTGCAACTTTTATAAACCCCTTTCCACTTTGCGAGTGCGAGTACTGCCTTGTTAAGTTAGGTTAAGTTTTCTTTAAGGCTGTTGACAGTCGCTCCTTCCCGTTATATAATTGATAGTACAAATTATCTCCGCCTCCTTTTAAACATATCTATCATCACGTTAATCATTGGGCTCCATGTATCGGCTTTAAACAAAACAGCGTTCATATTCAAATTTCATTAACAGTTTATCTTGCATGTAATATGTGCAACTGGACTTTAATGAATAATCCGTAATAATTAGTTTTAGGTCCATTTGAAAAATGTCAACTACTTCTGTCTCGTATGACACACAATCGATGTTTTGTTATTTGAAACATCTAGACAATTATTAACAACGACTTACACCACAATGATAACATTTTGTTTTTCATATTTACTACTACAAGTGCATATTTTTGTATGAAAAAAAAGGCGAAAGATACCAAAGGGACATTAAAAACTTATTAGTCGAAGAAAAACTGACAATGTCAAGGCAAAATACGGAAAAAAGAGGAAAACACGAACAAGTCCATAAAAACACTTAACAGCGGTTTACTACTGTTGCCTTTATATAGAAAAAAACAAGAATGAGCAACCCAAACCTCACCAAAGAAATGGGGTTGAAATCATGTGCTCCTTAAGGATGAATAACTTCAGCGCCACATGTTTATCACCCGCCAGAATATACTTGTTATACGTTTAGTTATCCACAGTTGACTTGCTAACAATATTCACTCATATTGTTTTCTTCTTGATCAATAATTATATCCTGTGCATATTATGCAAACATAGTTTATTATAGTATCTGTGTTGTTTGACAGATAATAGTTATCAAAGGTACCAGGCTTATAATTTGATACGCAAGACGCGCGTTTCGTCTACATAAGACTCATCATAAACGCCTCTAAAATTCAGTATGCTATCTTGATTTTTGTGTTTTACTTTGGAATGCTTAAAATGAAATATTTCAAATCTCTTCAGAACATTTAAACAATCAAACGTCTGTTGACAAACCATCTGACTCATGTAATGTATTATAATTCATTTGGAATCATGCCTGCGACATATAGAATATTGGTAAGAACTGTAAATATTTCAACTGTTTATTTCAGGATTGGGACACTGTTTTACACACTGCTGCTAGAAGTGGAGAACTCGTAATGGTCAAACTGTTACTCGAAACATCAAATATAGATCCCAATCAAACGAATAAGGTATGAAGTATGAGGAATAAATTATGTCTATGTGTTGTAACTGTGTCATATGTTATGTTTATTAAATCGTTGAGGCAACCATTAACATCTCAAAATGATTTTCATATTAGCTGTACCAATCTTTTCTAAGTACTTACGATAAATTAAACAAGTGAAATTGAATGTTGCCAAAAAAGGTAAAATAAAGCTAAATTATGTAGATATCATAATTTTCTGAAGCACATGAGCGTATCCCTTGCTTTTGAATGAGATCCGTGTTGCTCAGTCTTAAGTTTCTATTCAATGTTTTGTAAACGTTGTTTTTTTTAGTTTATACCATTTTTTTGTCAGTTTGTTTTCGACTTTTATTTTTTGGTCGTCCCTTTGGTATCTTTAGAAGAACAATTTCATATCTTTAAACCTTCTGTTACATAAACCCACAGGGTCCACGTATCATAACACTCTAAATTCCTTTTGGAAATTAAAACGAGAAAGAAAAAGCAAATTATATTATGTTGATCATTCCCTATGTATTTATCTATACATCCCATTATGTATGATCATTGGTACAAGCATTAATTTGATCTGTTTATACATATTTATATTTTCAACTTTAATAACAACTACTTGCGTACTTTTGCTATCATAATTACTATTGCACACAATCCAATCGTTAAGAATATAAAGTTGAAAGAAAATGTATTAGTCATTCATACAGACATATTGAATGGTTTTACACTAGTCATTTTGGGGGCCTTTTATAGCTTGCTGTTCGATGTGAACCAAGGTTCCATGTCGAAGACCGTACTTTGACCTATAATTGTTTACTTTTACAAATTATGAGTTGTTTTATCGGCACCCATACCACATCTTCTTATATATATATGTTTATATAGTATTTCTATGTTACTGTATTAAAAGAAGTTATTTCTGAACTTTCGTGCGTAACTATTTGTTTTACATTTGAACATGTTGGCATACTATGTCTTTGTTACGAGTATGTAACACACATTATTTATGTGAACAATATAATAGACATATTACATAGCGGATGTTGTCTATATACATGTAATTGTACAATAGTGATAGATGATCTTCTAATAACAATAACTTGACCAGGCAAAATATAATTTGTGCAGGCTTTAATCGGATGTATTGAACTATCTAGTTTCTTTTATCTGTTTATATTTGTAATCGAAGTAAACTGAGTCCTAGCTATCTTTTACTTTATTTATTCAACAAGAAGTAAACTGTGCATTATATAAAACTAAGGAAGTGAATATTTTTATAACACATGGCCACTTTCATTTGCCAAATTCGTCTGCCTGAATAAGAACGTATAAAGCAAACGTCTGCTTGAACAAGATAACAAGTTTTGTTTTATCAACTTTTTTCGTCTAGTGAGGTTAAACAGATTTTACCTATTGTTTTCTATTGGTGATGTTTGTGAATTCATAGTACTGTATAAGCTATTCAACTGTTTTGATTTTGTAAGTCCCTTAATGTGGATCATCAGTATATATTTCCTCAGATACAATTTACTAATACTTTGCAAAAACGAAGATTTTACAATGCTTTTTTTTCATAAATATAATAACAAATATGGGTCACCGTGATATTTTTCAAGCGACAAGTCGGGCAACATTGCCCACATTTGCATAGATTGTTCATGAAAAGGCACATTTTTGCGAATAATAAGTAATCTATGAGATAGAATTTTGAAAAAAAAAAAAATGAGAAGATAGGTTCTCGTTGCGTTGAAGACCCATTGGTGGCCTTCGGCTGTTGTCTGCTCTTTGGTCGGGTTGTTGTCTCTTTGACATATTCCCCATTTCCATTCTAAATTCTTTTTATTATATGCCTTATTTATTAATTGTTGGAGTGTCAAAAATTCTTTGGTAGTACTTGATAAATTGCATGCTTATATTGGTGATTTCGAATCTTTTCAAAGTTTAGATTGTTCTACCCTATATACCACTTTGCCTCATAATCATATTAAGAAAAAAATCACACACCTAATTAGATGGGCATTAAAATGTCAGAATGCAAATATATATGTTCAAACCCTTTAAGTTCATTTTTTTAGAAACAACCAACAAAAGAACTATGTCAATTGGACCTGCGTTAATACTATAACTGCCCTAAAATTTTTACTAGATAACATTTTTGTTCGCTGTGGAGATTCCATATATCGTCAAGTTATCGAAATTCCAATGGGGACTAACTGTGCACCACTTATTGCGGACCTGTTTCTGGATTGTTACGAGTTACAATGTATGACTAAAATCAGCAAAGACCCATCGAAAAAAACATCTGGAGTCAGTTTCACAAAAAAAAATCACGACTAAGATTGATCGTAAGTCATGAACAATTCAGTATACTTACGATCAATCTTAGTCGTAAGTTTTTTTGTGAAACCGACTCCTGATACTAAAATTTAATAACACTTTTAGATATTTTGATTATCTATTGGCTCTCAATAATGACGACTTCAGTATATACACTAAAGAGAATTATCCTGCTGAACTGAATTTAAAAAAAGCTGATACTAACAATGAACACTGCTCTTTCCTGTATCTTGATATCTATATCTTTAACGGGGAAACTTAATACCTTAATAACTGCCTACCCTTCCGGAGCACCTGGGATCAACCCCAGTTTTTGGTGGGGTTCGTGTTACTTAGTCTTCAGTTTTCTATGTTGTGTCTTGTGTACTATTATTTGTCTGTTAGCCGTTTTCTTTTTTAGCCATGGCGTTGTCAGTTTATTTTCGATCAATGAGTTTGAATGTCCCTCTGGTATCTTTCGCCCTTCTTTTAATACCATTTTTTTTTAATAAAAAAAGATGATTTTTCATTTCCTATTGTTAACTATCCATTTTTAGATGGTGACGTTCCCTTGTCACGATCTTATGGTGTTTATATATTATTCAACTTGTTCGATTCGGACGTGTATGAAACAACGTATTTGATTTAAATGAAAGAAATCTCTGTATTACTGAATAAGTATTACACCAGGGTTTTCAATATCACAAACTAGTGAAAACATTTACTAAATGTTATCATCGGTACAAGGACATTATTCTTAAAGATAAATCAACATGCAGACATTTTATATGTTCAGATGTTTCAAATCCGATCTTTTATGGTAATATTCTTTACAAAGCACAAAAATGTCGGCTTTCACCTCACAAGCTAACCAAACCTTAAAACAGACTTATTCAGAAGGGATATAGTTACGATACTGTTGCCAGGTCATTGAAGATGGCGTATTTTGGTGTTTATATTGATTCATCTCATAGGATCTTTGCATCGGAAATAAACACAGTTGTTCTACAACCAGTTGTTGGCATGATACGGGTTATGTTCTTCTCATATAATGTATGAAGGTATGATACTAAACCTCTAACGGGATGGATTGTTCTTGCTTTTCATATGATGAAGACATAGTCTTTCAATCAGTTTAATTGAAGTCTGGAGCTAGCATTTCAGTTTCTGCTAGTAGTCCTTTGATAATTTATGTATCATCGTCATTGTGCTTAGTTTATTTTGTTACCTATTTTTACATCGGACTCGGACTTCTTTTAAACTGAGTTTTACTGTGCGTATTGCTGTGTGTTTGTTTATTCTACATTGGCTAGAGATATAGGGTGAGGATTGGGATCTCACAAAACATGATTAACCCCCGCCGCATTTTTGTGTCTGTCCCAAGTCAGGAGCCTTTGTTGGTCTTGTATTTTTTTTTTTTTTTAATTTTAGTTCATTTATTATGTTTAGGAGTTTAGTATGACGTCCATTTTCACTGAACTAGTTCACATTTTGTTATCTAGGGGCCAACTGAAGCCCACCTCCGGGTGCTCGATTTTCTCGCTCTTTGAAGACCCATTGGTGGCCTTCGGCTGTGTTCTGCTTTTTGGTCGGGTTGTTATCTCTTTGACAGATTCCCCATTTCTATTCTCAATTTTATTTTTAAAAAAATAAAAAGACAAAATTGTGTCACCGAACTTATTTTCTTGCTACAAGTAAACAAATGAAAATAAAAATTTCATTCCGGTATACAATTTTTACTATAAGAGTTATCTCCCCTTCAATGGCTAAGTTGGACAATTGATTCTAAAAAACACGAATATTTAGTCTTTGTTTATCATTTTGGATTATGCAATAAATCACTGTTTTTTCTTTATACAAATAAACATTCTTACACATAAATAGCAAATCTGTCTCAAAATCTCCAGATTTAGACAAAGAGGTAGACCGATTGTGTACTGCTATTGTACAATCCAAGATAGTGGCATGCAGTGAATCTACCTTTAATTGATAATTTCTATCCCTCCACTTACATCGGTAAACAGCATACCTTGAGCTTTTGTTTGTTTTTACCGTCCCAGAAAAGGACAACTATAATTATGCATAAGTTTTTTTTCTATGTGTATATCTGGAATGCCTCTTATTTCAATTTTGTACACAATCAAAGACAAAAAAAAATGAAGATTTTGTCATTTGGTCTCTTGTGGAGAATTGTCTCATTGGCAATCATACCACATCTTCTATTTATATTTGATAGTTTTTCCATAAATCAGATATCTCTTCATTTCAAAACCTCTATGCACCGTTTGATTCTGTGTTGTGTTTACAACCACATTTGAATCAACTCTGCCCCATATTAGGGCTGACCCCTGCTGCTTTTTCAGGCCGTGGATTACATTTAATGTTGTTGACTTTTGGTTTCATATTGCGCTACCTCCCTTATTACTGGAAAAAAAGGTTTTTTTTCGGAAATTCTTTCTAGCCCCTGAAGATGCTAAAGCTTATATTTGTATTGATATAAATATTTCTTTGATTGACTCATTGATCATCGGTTTTAGTAGGAAAGTGTACCCTTTCTATGTTAGGGTTAGTTGTAATAAGGGGTTTTGCTTGCAGTGTATATAACACGGAAGCAACATTGTAACCATGACGAATTCAGCGGTTTTAGTCGGAAGAATAATAGTACAATGCATATAACATTACATACTTAGAATA